CAATTATATTACATATACATATAAGAATTATAATTTATATAAATTATTTATAATTTATTATTTATTTATAAATTATTAATCTGACAATAAATTATTTAAAAAAAAGTAGAAGTACAGAAAATATATCTTCCATTCCAGCCTTCCTTCATATTGAATTATTATTGAGATACATTTAAATAATATAATGTAAATTATATTTTATAGGTCTTTTTGGATAGTAATTTAATTGCAATTTTGGGACAAAATGGCAGACAGATTGTTTTATTATATATATAATAAAATATAATTTATATATTCTCCACTTTGGTTTAATATCTTTTACCGATCTTTTGGCATATTACTAGATTTTAAGCACTGATCTGATCTTTGTTGGCAAAAAAATTTTTTATATTATTTATATTAATTGTTAATTGAATTGTCTGTCGAAAAAATTTTTACAGGTCGGAACAAGTGACAATAAGAAGTTGCTAGATCTGCAGATCACAATAACTATGGTGATCTCTCTCTGGGCTTTTGCAAAGTCTCGCATTATCTTAATATACCACTATACTATTTCTTTCGAATAATTTTGGAATAATAATTATTGTTTATAAACTTATATTTAAATAGATTAAATCACTTAACAAAAATAATATAGAATTTATTTTTTTAAGTTTTGAGTAAGAGAGTTACCAGTGTAAATACTAAACTTTTTGGCCTTTTTTTAACAATTTCTAAGCCAATATTTAATTTGTTATATTTAGTTATACATCAGTTATAGGCACATTTTTAGTTAAAAATATCAAATATTTATTATTAAATTTTTTATCTTATTAAGGTAAATATATTTATTTCATTCAAATAATAACGCATCTGAAAATTGTTAGTTGAATTGTTCGGTAGAAACTCAAAAAAAAAGTTACATGATTTCTTTAAAATTCCACTAAACGGACACTTTCACTTCTTTTATGAATATTGACTTGTGGTTCAACTGTTTTTCTCTATATTTTTTGGTATTTAATATTAATGTAAGCAGTGATAGATATGCCAATCTATTAATAAAACCAAACAATAACATCAACAATGAAAAAGAAAATATTTCTGTATATTTGCTACTGGGATTCTTATTAGTTTATTTTTTGGGTCCTTATTTGCCCGATAGAAATTGTGTAATTTTTTACTGCTTGTCGATGAGCATTGCTTCGTCCGTTGAAAATTAAAGATTAACTTACTTATTATCAACTTTTTTTAATAATAATAAATAATAATAATAATAATGTGCAATGGCGTAGCCAGTATTATATCCAGGGGTGAAGGAATTGCTATATCGAAATTAATGTAATTTTAATAAATTCTAAAAATTAATTACAATAACACTGAAAGCATGATGCCAAAAGAGGATGTACTAAAAAAATTTTTAATAATATATTTTTAATAAGCATTAAAAGATTAAGTCAAGGGAATATGATATGCTCAAATTTTTTTTTCTCGTAGTTTTTTGCATTTTGCTTAATTAGTTATAATAATATTTAACAGTATTCTTATGTATTTACAAATCCAAATATATATGTACGAAGTCGGACATAAGTGTTTTTTTTTAAATCCTTATACATATACTTTCTTTACTCGAAAACTAAGACTACACCTCCTCTATCATTTATTTTTCATAAGTTTCACTATTAAAATTTCTAGTAAATATCAATACTAAAATATAAAAACAAAAATATATGAAATTTGTATAGATTTTTATTGTCAGTAGATTATATTGTCAAGAGAGATGAAGCAAAGCTACAAAATAAATCTGCATAATCGTGATTTTTTAAGAGATAACCAACAAAAAGCAACGGACAGAGTTCCCAAAAATATTAACGATTGAGAGGAAAATCTCGGATATCAATGCCATGGACAAAATTTCTTTTCTGTAGTAACTTGTGAAATCGATACGCCGGTCCATATATTGACAATAAACCAACGCGTTTCACGTGATCATGAAGAGTGCATATAGATCATTTTAATCTAACACTGATCTCTCAAGTTGTTATTTGGTGGTTTATATGTCTTCAATCAATCCTTTTATGTAAGAGCTTAAATAAAATAAGCATTTTAATTAATTTCAAATAAATAAATTTAGTTTTTATTTATTTATTAATAGTTGAGAAATGGGCGTTCAGCGAGTATATCTCCTCCATATATGGACACATCGAATATTTTTTTTAAACAGTCTTTTCACTCATTTAATATAAGGAAAATGTTGCTTTTGTCTATTTGTTATTACTATATAAAGAACAACTACCTATTGAAACTAACTACACAGCCCTCGTATAGTATTTAATTTAATGTTTAATGTTTAATTTGTTAATAAATTAAATATTTTTAATTTGTGGTGTAATCTTATCAGCATAAGTGGTACAAGTGATAAGATTTATCACAGATGATTTTTATCTGATAATTTTTTTTATAATTTTTGAAAGTGACGACAGATTCTGTTCTAAGTTTAAAAATGAGTGAAAAATTTATATTTATATATATAATATAAATTATTACATAGATGACGTTTGACAATAAAATTTAGTGTTATTAAAAGTGAAATAACATTGAAAAAATATTTTAATTGACTAAAACTGTGATTGTGGTGAGGTTATCATCACAACAGTCAAGGTTAATAATATGTTGGTCCATATTTAGTATTTTTAAGTGCTCAAGAATAATCGTAGCGCATTGGTATGTGCAATGTTTCTATATAAAATTAAAGTTCATATATGAGTACAGTTTTGAAAATTAATTTTGTTAATACTATAATAAATTATAAGCTCTATGGTTCTTTCGGCGATTTTCACCGAATTTAAAAAGAGAAATCATACCGTGTATAAGATAGACCGACACAAGATCAATAAGATGTATATGGTATTCTAATGGTAAAAAAAACAACTCTCGAAAAAAGTAACAACCTTCATCGATTCCAAATTATTGGTGTGTATTAAATTTTATATAACCCATACTATATCCAGTTCCAACAATAGTGACTTGAACATATGCATTCATAGCTTACCTCTACCTCTTCTGTATAATGATTTTTATTAATTCTATCAGTTTTTAGTATCAGACAAAAAATCCTACTCAAAAATGTTAAATCATTTTATATAATTCTTTTCTAAATTACATAGATATTGATATTTAACGAATTATTTTAGTGATAGAACGAGCCTTCTTCATTTTGTAAGTAGTCAGAAATTTACTTTCAGTTGAGCTTATAGGTCTAAAACTTAAATCCTATTCTCTCCGATTTCTTTTGATAAAATATCGATTTACTGTTTTGGATCAGTTGCAATATGCCAATGAACCGAGATTATAACAAGTGTACTTAGTCTACTATGACCAATTACATATAGTCTATTAAAATTTTTATTATTTTCTTGATAGAAAATAATCTATCAACACTAACTAATGCGATTAATAGAGTTGTAAAACTTTCGAGAAGTCACTTTTTGGTTGTATAATAAGTTCATCAAAGTATCTCATATACAATTTAAAAACTTTTTTAGCTGCCTCAATCGTTGATGTATCTTTTAAATAGTTATATATATATTATATTTTCACTTAAAAACCACACAAATTATGATCCGTAGAATTGTGTATAAAAGGTTTATCGGTTCAGGGCCTATAGTTCCTCTCACGGATACGCACAAATTTTCTTTTGAATGTTCAATGCTCTTGAGGTGAATACCGAGATTTCCCTTTCATATATACTATATAAATTCTAATATGTAATATATAAATAATATAATATGTAAAATAATCATTTAATTAATTTAATTTTAAGTATTTAGTTGAAACTTTATTGATGTTCAGAATACTTGTATTATATATCTTGATTTCGGTACTTAAAATATAGTTTTTTTTTTATAATACTGTAGAACATGCAGCGGTGCTAATATATAATGTATTGGTTGAGATTTGCTTTTATAAAGAGTTTATTTAAATATGTTATAGTATATATTAAACATATATAAAATCAGTTTTATATAAACAAACCAATGCTATTTATTTTATTAATAGTTTATTTTCTTAAGTCTATTCAGTTTATATGGTCTTCATTATGTTCAGGCATATATTATATGTGTTCTTATAAACTAATTATTATTATTATTTATTAGTTCATAATTGATTTATTAATTAATTTAAGATTATGACTATAAGTTTATATATTAGTATATGTAATATAATATATTATATTATATTTACTCCTAATAATGTAATGCATAGAAGAAAATACATAGATCAAAACGTAGTTCAATAATTAGCTTATAATATATTAAAAAAAAATACAATATTTTATATATAAAGAGTTTCTAGCTATCAAAATATTTAATATTTGTATTCTTATTAACACACAATTTGAACAAATATTATTTAGATGAGAACTATGACATCACATTGTGTAAACATTAGCTGTTTTTCCACATGTTTAGTCATTATCATAAGTGAATGACTATCTTATAGTAAGTGACGAAATTATCTGTGTTTATTTATATTATATTTAAAAAAAAATTATCTGAACAACAAATAGTCAGAGAATTTGTTAACAATGAATTGTCTTTATATTTCATTCAAATTTTATTATAATTTGAAGGTAAGTTTGGAAGGTAAATCTTTGTGTGAGTTTTCCAGCAGCTGGACAATCAAAATTTGTTTATACACTCATTATTTAAATATAAAAATTAATTTTATATGTATTTAATATATAATAAGAAAGAACATATATTTTTAATAACCATGTATGTGCCCCATTTTTTAAAATATTTCAAGGAGTTTAGACTTGGACAAAAACACATATGTGTTGTTAAAAGATAAACGAACTAATATAGTCATCCTTTCTATTGTTAGAAACCTGTCTTTTAAAAATTTAGGATTTACTAATAAATTTAATAATAACTTTCCAAAATGTGTACTTGTGGAAATAAGAAAATTGACTAGCAAATGCATTGGTATTATTTCCATTTAAATTAGAAACTTATTAACAGTTAGAAATATTATTAATATGTAATAAATATGTATTATTATTACTGCTATGGGATATGGTACTGCGACCATAGCGTCTATTGTGACCCCTTCTTGGTTTGGAGTACGTCTCTAAGTCCTGTTGCGTCAATAAAAAGTAGTACAGAACCTACTCTACAAAGTTTTATTGCCTATTTCGTAAGGGTATACGTTCCCAGGAGTCTATCCGAATGTAAAACATTTTAACAGCACATATGTAGCTGACTCTTCATTCTCTTTGCAACATCTACAATTTGCATTCCCAGTCTCGTATGGTGGTATTTTAGTTCATAGTGTCCTGTTAATATTCCTGTAAAGATTCTAAGTATTTCTTTTAATTAGGTCCATACCATTCTGATTTCTATTATTGTTAATTTGAATTGTGTTAATCCTGGTATATTATCCCAGTAATCTTCCTTTTTCTGGTGCACCTTTATTTTTATGAGAGAAAGAAGGATACTGTGTTCTGATTCACAGAAAGGTTCCGGCCCCATCATCCGTGTGATTTGATTGCTTCCTTTCTGGCTGGTTTGTCTTGATATTTGTTTTCGCGTACGCCAGTATGTCTCGGTATCCAGAGCATCGAACCAAAATTTAGCTTATCAAGTCAGCAGTCTTAAAGTTACCTGATGCGAGTAATAAATACAATATAAAAATATAATTGAAACCAATTTTATATATATATATATATTCATTTATATATATATGTATATAAATAATTCACAACATTCAATTTAAATAGTCAAGTTTTAATAAAATAATACAATTTAATAGTTAATGTTAGTTAGTTTTTTATTTAAAATTTAAAAATCACTAAATCGTTAAAGTTAATTTTTTTGATTAATGTTTTTTTTTTTTACTAGAGTTAATTAAATAAAATTTACGATTTCAAAATTAAATTGTTATGAGTTTGTTGGCTTAGCAAAACAATTACATTGTGTACATTTGTTAAATATTAATAATTCATTTTATTGTTTATAATTCTCTAAGTAAATAAAATTATAATAATTGGTAAATATTAAAATGCATTTTGAAGTTTAAATACTAATTCAACTGCCTCTCTACAGTTTTTTTGCGAATAATAAAAACTAATAACACTATACTATATGTACTATTGTGCTAAATAAATACATTAAAATGACTAGGAACTCATATTTATTACATATTTACAAATATAAATCAAAACATTATTTCTAGTGTTTTTCTTAATAGAAGTTTTCAGAATCGTGGAACATAGTTCGCGGGGTTTTTACATTTAGTTGAAATTCTCAGGATTACGACATTGTGTTAATGACAATACCTAAGAGAGCGTGATGTGAATATCATAATATGTTAGCTATATGAATGAAGAATTTCTTTACAAAAATATTTGTCGTATAATGTTTTGTTAGCTTAGTGGGTTTTTTCATAATTTAAAAAAATATTGTCTATAAACGGAAACAAATAACTACATAATAATCTCAAACGATATTTAAAATACTTTTGAAATGAATCTACATTCCATAAACAGACTATCTGAAATGATTAAACAAAACAAACTAACAATTATCAATTAATCAAAATTTTTTTCAGGCATCATCTGATGTTTTCATTAGAAAGTTTGGCATTATTAAACATGACCTACCTTAGGCTTTTTGTCAGAGCGTTATTTGTGTTATTTACAGTGCGATGATTAGTACGACTTTCGACATGGATTATCAAGGCTGGAGTGCATCAATCTTGAAAGACTTACTTCCACATTTCTCGATGAAACACTGTCACTGGTATAATGATTTTAATCGTGGCCGCAGTTCGCTCACTGACCTCACTGAAATTCGTATTCGTGAAAGTCGTCCAAAATAAGTTGTTCATGACGATCTTGTAATGCAAGATCGTCATGCAATATACTGTGAGATTAAGGGAACCCTAGGCAATAGTTCCACCAGAATGTATAAAACACAAGAATTGCACGATCATTTAGCCGTTAGATAGGTTTGTTGTCGTTGGACAAAATCTTGGACAAATTCTCTGACTATTTGTTGTTCAGACAAAATCCCATCATTTGACAAAATCTTAAAAAGGTGCTCGTGTCGATTGATGCTGATGCACACAAGCACACAAATGGTCAAGAAGTACAATAGTGGTGCTTCAAAAGACGTATATAAGATTGTAACAGGTGACGAATCAATAATATTTGTGTATCAGTTGGAACGTAAACAGCAGTCGACTGTACTCATATGGGTGTTTTAAGATGTACCAAATCCAACATAAGGTGTTCACGCTTTACAGCACTTCGAAACAAATGGTCGCTTGTTTTTCAGGAAAACTGGTCATTTGCACCATGACCATTATAGGAATGTTAAACGGTAAATTCCAAATGGTATACAACTATTTGTCTACCGGAATTCTTCAGTGAAATACGGAAAACAAATAAGCGCCAACGGATCATTCTCCATCTCCATCAAGACAATGCGAGTACTCTCACAAATCGTCTAACAACCGACTACGAGTATTTAAACATTAAAAAAATGTCTGAAGAAGATTGGAAAAAATGCTTTGACAAATGATTCGAACACATGCAAGACTGTACGAGTATTAATCATAATGGAGAATACTTCGAGAAACAATAAAGCAATTTTCAACAAATAAGTATTTTTTTATTATTAAGCTCAAAATATAAATAATGACCCTCTTAATAATTCTAGCTTTAGGAACAGAACTAATTCACATGGGACTTTGTCAGGTGATCAGATTGGTTGGTCAATCACATTTCACCAATAGCTTTCATAAGATGTAGTATTAATATTATAAATTAAATAAAATAATGGATATAATCAAAAGGGGTTCCGCAATGATCCACCTTAACGCGTCATGAAGCTATTAAGTGGTTATACTGAAGTAAAAGAAGGCCGACAACAGAAATTATAGTTTTAAAACGTCGCCAACAGGTGTATTCATAATAAATACCAGCTGAAACTATTGACTTAGCTTCCACCTTAAATAAATAAAATTACTCATTTCAAATATCTTAAAAAAATAGAGCAAGAACAACTTGGACAAGAAAAATATATTAATTCGCAACAGTAGGTATTTCCCATCATTTCGTTTATCCGACTGTCTTTGGGATAGATGATTGAATTTTTGCACGGCAATTTTTGGAAAACGGATCTTAATTATTTGAGAAATATTTTGGCTTGAATATAAATTGCAGCTATCATACGCACTGAACAATAATAACTAACCATTAATCATTATTAATAAAATTATTAGTAATTCATTTAGATTTTTTCTAATATATACTAAGCCTAATATATATATCCTAATATATATCTAATATATATTAAAATTTGAAAATTGCATAAAAAACGCACTATACTACTTTTTTTTTGTAGATAAGTGACACTGATCACTTGATTTGTGATTAACTTTTGAGTGTTCTGCAATGGCGCACATTTTTTTACTATCGTCGTTCTAACCCTTAATTTTTTTACGAAAAAGTGAATGTGATCAACTAAATACCGTATTCAACTAACAATGACTGTCTTATGTTCCTATCTTGTCCAGAAAATTGTTTGTAGTCAAATGAAATGAAATGATTATGAATTGCTTCCTTTCTGAAGAGGAATTTTAGTAGCTTTCTTAAAAATATTAATTTAAATTAAATTTTTATAAAATTAATTAATTAGCGCACTATTGTTTTTATTTATTTTGCTTGCAAAGTTTAAAAAATTAAATAAAATATTCTTCAAGATACAATGATTTGACTTTAGATTTTAATCAATTTTTAACTTGCAAACTATAACTTAATCAGCCCATGAAGTTAGTAAAATTGCCTAAAGTGCTCGCACAATTATATTGTACTTGATGAAGACTGCTTTAAAGGTCAACTAATTAAATTTTGATTAAGCTGATATTTATCACAATTTCGTGGAATTAATTTCGATAAATATAGTACGATTAAAGCAAAAATCTTTAAAAAGTTTGGTAATAGTTAAACCGATATTGTGATGTATCTAACAATATACTTGTAATACTATATCTTGAAATTGTTATTCGATACGAACTATATAATAATCATACTGCTACCGTCAAATTAATCCTACATAAACAAAATTCCGGAATTCTAATATACAGAATTGATGGTTCCAAAAGAAGTGTTGCAGATATGTAAAGGTACAATTGTTTATGGGAAGAATAAGCGCACCTGACATCTTTTTTTATTTATCTTAGTTAGAAAGTTTATAGAATACAATTAAATATTATAAAGAATGTGGTGATATATTTATTGATTTTAATCAATTTTTAATTAGACAAAAATTAGAAGTTTCAGATTAGTGATTTGTGGCTAACTGAAACTTTTAATTTGTTTCTAAATAAAAATTAATTTTGATTATATTTAATTTTTAATTACTCATCAATTTCGGCAATTAAGTCAAACACATAATTTTCTGTTTCATGAACTATCATGTTCACCAAATTCCGATAATAGTTTTCCATCCGGAATAGAAAATTTCTTGTGCGCATGTAACCAATTTGAACAGGAACCTTAACCATTCTTGTCAATTCACTTAAGCCCAATCGGCAGGATGTGCTGACTGCATTGATATATGATGTATATCTCGCAGAGAATGCTTCTAAGTTGATAACAAGACGACGAATAGTAAAATTATTAACGACATCTTCAGAAGTACTGTTAATTAAATTCTTACCAGGTTTCATTATAGATGCGGTGCTGACAATGCAACTCTCCCCACGTGACATTACTAAACCAAAGGAAGCCTTGTTTACAGAGGTGGATATTGGCACATCCTTCAAGGTGACAATCTTTTCACAGTTTTTACCCTCAGTAGTAGCGACCATGCAACTCGATTTGCCTTCGTCTGCAATTACTGAGGCACCATTAACATTGTCTGCAGTTGAAGATTTGGTCTTTTCACAAATGGTACATTTAGTTTCTTGGTTATAACTCTTTTGACATTGTGTACTTATAGTAGTTGAGACCATATAACTCGATTTAGCTTCAGGTAAATTAATGGAGCTGCCGAAAGACTTTTCTACAGTTGAAGACTTGGTCTGACCAATGAAGAAAATTCTAGTTTGTGGGTTCTGGTTATTTTCACACATTTTACTTATTCCATATAAGCCATTTAACAGTTCCTGCTTACGCTCTGCTTCATACTTAGTACTTTTAACAAGACTAGACTCGGGGTGGCATTTTCGAAAGATTTGTTTGGAATTCAAAATTTTTTGAATGAAATAAAGGTTTTTGCTGAATTTTCTAAAAATATATACAAAATATAAATATATTTTTTATTTGTAGTTTATGCTTTAAAATATTTAAATTGTTCGCCTACTACTAGTTGATTCTTTTTTCAAAATTAATTTTAATTTATAGATATATTTGAGTGAATTTGTAGCTATGTCAGTCAATAACAGCACTGGTCCTAACAAAGCTTAAGTCCTTCTCAGGACGATCAGGAAGATATGCTGACCTACGGTCCGTCATCAATTAAAAGATAAATAAATGATAATAATTCTAGTATAGTTAAAGCCCTCCAAAAACTTCGGAAACTTCGGAAAATACGGCAAATACTACTATTTATGATTAATATAGAAGTCAGTCAGTTACACTGACTCCACATAGAGGTACCCACTTTACTTAAATAATATTAAAACTGGCTCTTTTCTGTTTGAAATTTCAATACTAATCATTATAGAAAAATATACTCTATAAAGTCTAATTAACACTGACACGACTTGGTCGGATTTTTTTAAACACTTTTATTTTTTCACTCTCTCTCTCTCTTATCCTTATCTTCCAGGGCCTTTTCACTAACACATACAAATGTTTCTAATATGTTTTTGTATTAAACCTTTTTACCAATGGCTAGCCTGTCTGGACATTGAAGTGGATCACTTGAGGCTACAACTACAATAATATGCAATTTTACTTCCATTTTTCTTGAACTTTTGTAATTTTTTTTATGCCTTCTACACAAAAAGTGTGAAAGGGGTGTAACAGGTTTGTGAAGATTTTTATAACACTTTGAAGAAAACTTCATGGACCTAATGAGGTATATATATTCTTAAACTCTTGACAGCTGAGTTCATTTAATACCGTCTGTCTGTTCGTTTGTCTGTTTCAGAATAAACTAATCCTTCACTTTTTAAGCTATAGGAATAAAACTTTGGCACACACACTTTGTGGGTCTTGTTCATTTGTCAAATTGGTAGGAATCGGATCACTATATTTTTTAACTGCCATATAAATGTAACAAAAAGATATAATCTCTGTTTTAAATCAAAATCTTTAAATGCAGTTTGGTATAAAGAGTACTTATAGTTATATAAGTAAATATTCTAAATTTTATTATATCGGTTCCGATTTGGATATAGCTGCCATGTAAACATTCTATGTAGACATATGTTTTTATTAGAAATTTTTTTTATTATTTGATGTAACTATTTATTTTAAGTTTGGAACTTAATCAGTATTTACAAAATTCAATCCATATAATTAAAATTGGATGGATCGTTTAGTTTTAGATGTAGTTGATATATAAACTGGTAATAAAAAAACAAAATTTTTTTATATTTCAATGAATTTTCTTCAAATTTTTAATTTAATTTTATTTTATATAAAAGACAATAATCGAGATAAAATTGATATCGATTGGTTCAGATTTGGATATAGCTGTTATACAAAATTGTACTTCAGATCATTTTTATTCTATATTATGTATATTGCTATTCCCAACAAAAACTTCTCCAACTTCAACAGCTAAAGAAATATTAGCGTGTACAAAAAATTAATAGCAGTTCTTATTGGTAGTATATATGTTATTTATTATTATTATTATCGATAGCCTGTGCATGCACTGCGACCTGAAAGATCTTTTGTGCAGCCTTTCGCCCAACTAGTTGAATTCCAAACTTTTGAAGAATTTTGTCACAATTGTGGTCAGTATTTTAGTTAGGTGTTCAGAACTAAAAATTTCACTGCCTAGATAGTTAAGGTATGCGTTTTGCCACGGCGTGTTCTGCTGTTTCCTGTTGCTCTTGACAGAATCGACAGTAATCGTTTTTTTCTAGACTAATCTTTTACGGATGGTATCACAGTCTACAGTGGCCTGTTAGCAGTTCCGTGTATAGTTTGTTAACTGTTCTGCTTAAGTTCAGAACAACTTCAGCTTTTATATGTACAGGGATAATAGGCCGTTTTGACTGCCGCATACCTTTTTGGGCTCTCCAAAAATCAGTTAGGTTTTCTTATTCCTTTTCGATTACTTTGCGGGTTTTGAAGCTGTTATTAACACCGCAGAAGGGTTTCAGGTCTACGAAAGGTGTTTGTGCTCCCTATTATATATGTTAAATATATATTCGAATATTATATAAATGAGCTTACAATACAAAATTAAAAATTAATGGGTAAAAAAGTTCCACGCATCAGCGAACCTTAAACTGTCATGTTATTATAGAAATAAATTGGAGTAGTGGCGTATAATAGTGGGAAGATTTTGTAGTTCAAACCCTCTTAAACTGTTTGGGATTATTTCACATTAGATATAATGAATTGTTCTACTTTTTGTTATGAGCTTTGTATTATTATAGTTTTCAAAAGTATTCCTTTAAATTAGTCTAAACATACGCCTCTGAAAGTATGTGTAGAATATATAATTGCTTTTCTGATTTAAAATAAATATTACAAAAAATTCAATCGACTCGTTTTAATTGATCTCTATTTAATTGTTTAATATGGAATATTTGATTTATTTGGATTTAAAATTTTTAAATTAAAACAAATATTGACTATTGTCAATATAAAATTTTGTAAGACCATAGAATCGATATATAGTAGGAAAGTATGTGTGAGTCGATCCGCAACATGTCAAAGTTTTTAATGTTAAAATGTTTATGTTGGTTAAGGTTTATGTTCAATTATATAAATTTTCAGTGACCTTGTGCTCTTTAAAGAGCTTTAAATATTCTTTAAATTTAAAATTTTTAAAAATTAAGTTTTTTTATATTTATATAAAGATACTACCCACTGCTCCAATTTGTATTCATTAAGAATAGAGGTAAAACTACAAAATAGAAATACTTTGCCCTTAGCGAAAGCGAGGTCAGGCCACTGTTACTCACTTCGAAAATATCTTACTCTCATTTCAGCTGTAGCCAATTCCGCCTTTCCGGCCTGTAGAACACTCGAAGAATGTGCTTATTTCAGGTGCTTCCAGTAATTGCGGTGATAATGTACTTTTGAGATTACCCAAATGAGACGTTAATTTTTTTATGTTCATGTTTTGTGTGATTGTTTGCGAAATTTGCTTTATTTTTATTTTTGTTTTTGTTTTTGTTTTTATTTAATTTTTATTATTTATTTTAAACAAATATTGAAATACGAAAAAACACAAAAAGCAAAAAAAAAAAAAAATCTCAAGAAAAATGTGAGAAAATCTGAAGCATTTTGTGTTGAGATACTTTATTTGTATTTCCTAAATGTAGCTGCTTTGCGACGTATTCAGAAATTGTATAAATATCTGAAGCAAACTATTTTGACTTTAATCAGATTGTAAACGTTTCGAGTGTAAGAACTTCTGCTCTGTGTGCTAAACAGATTCAGGAAGTCGATTTAAGAAGTGTAGGACAACTGTAATATAGAAAAAGATAACCAAATTTCTAGAAAAATTTGAAGTGCAAGAAAAATTTGTTTGAAATACATCACTAACATAAATAATATATTAATAATGCATTTGAAAATATTTGCCGTTCTGTGCTTCCTATCAGTGTTGATTTTTGCTGCAAATGCCGAGACATCAGGTGCTTAAAATATTACATCACATAAATTAAAAAAAAAATAATAGTTATCTTAAATAATTTTTTTAGACAATTGTTCCCAACCACATCCAAAGGGCTTTGGCCCATGCCGTATGCTTTCTTACGGTTTCTGGCTTAATCCCGATACTAAGGCATGTGAACAATGGATGGAAGGCGGTTGTGAAGTACAAGGAGGACATAGTTATGAGACATTGGAGAAGTGCAAAAATGAATGTGAAGTGACAGCTTAAGATATTTTTTTTAAAAATCTTTCATTAAAATTAATTACAATTTTTGAGAAAAGTGAGAAAAAAGTTTAAAAATTTTAGTTAAACTTAAAGTTATAATAAGGCCGGTTATATGTTGTATCTGTGGATTTTATATTATTTTTTTTTTATATTGACTAAAATAGAGTAATAAAATATATATAAATATATATTTTAAATAAATAAATCTTTTTTACTAAATATTTTACTTTTAATTTAATAATTGCGGGATTATAATGAACATAAAAAAATATCTGCAAAAGTTTTAAAAAATTGTGAAAATATATACCTATACCTAATTTTTCGTCGCCAAGCTATTATAGTAGATCTCCGATTGTATGAATTTCCGGTTATTCGAATTTTATTGCCATCTAAATAAAATTGAAAAATACAATACACAGGATTAGGTGATTGAAGTACTACTTATTCAAATGACATCTTTTTTATGTGAAATTATTTTTATCAATTCAAATTACAAAAAAAGTGTGAAAATAATCAAAATTACAGAATCCACAAAGCTGTGACCACCTTTTGCCTTAACTATGGTCTTGAAAAGGTTAAAAAACTAGTTGCATGGTTGACGAATATGATCTTCCGTATTTTGGTCCATTCCTGAACAATGGATTTTTTTAGCGTATCCATACTGGCATATTTTTTAGTACTTAGCTTGCTCTCCAACTCAACAAAATGGCCAAGATGGAATAGTTTATCGGAAAGAAATTCGAAAGCCATTATGTGGACCAAATGAAATGATTCATATATGTTTTATGAAACAATACCGAGTCTTATTGGAACGTCCATAGTCTACGACCGAAATCTAATTTCTTTGTTCTTTTAATCAATCTAATAAGATGAGGTACCAAAAGAATGTTTATACTCAAAAATCAATAAGAGAGATCAAAATGCTCTGTGTTGTGAACATTCTCGACTTGCTAAACATGTTGGATCTGTAGTGATACCAATAGTGAACATGCGATATTTGCTTTCGGTGTGTCTTATAGTAACTTCAGAATCTTTTCTCTTAATTATGTCACAAAGTTCGCCAGTTTGTCACCTTCTCCTACAATTCTCTTTGGTATTTTGCAATTTTACATTTTGGAATATTTTCTTTTGTAAACAAAGATCAAAATTTAGCTAATCTAACACTGAATATTGCTTCCGGTCTATAGATCTCCTACCAGAGATTTCATTGAAGATGCGTTTATGCAATTTATTACCTATGGCACCACAATGAGCACAGTTTAACACAGTTGTAGTTTATTACATTTTACAACGTCTCATTTTAGAAGAATTTAATAGGTTAATAAGGTTATATGATAATAAGATAATAAGAATTTGCAGTGTACCTTTGGCGTAATTTTTTTCCAATCATCTTGCGAAACATTTGACGTAATCCCACTTCATTTTGACATAAAGTTCTGCTAAGAAGTCTGTTGTCATACTTTTAATAGAAAACTAACACTTAGTTTTATCGTATAAATGTTACCCAAATCTAATACCAGTAAAGATTTTGAGACCTTTAATGTATAATATATTATTTAGCTTTGCTAATTTTTAATTATCGGATTGAAGGACACATATATTTGCATATTTTATAAAATGTAGGGTAACCATTTTCATGCCCTATGATTGTAAGAAAAGAAACTTAGTACCTATATATGACTTTGACCGTACCGAATGAGGTGCCCAGATTTGAAGCCCTGAAATTTTAATTGGTCTGACATTAACTTTAGTATAATTAGATAGACTTAGAAGACTCTTACCAGAAATACCATATTGGTGTACTGTTGTGCCTACACAGAATCGCATAAGTTCTGGAATCTGTTTGAATTATCATGAAGCTTAATTTGTTTTGGTTAACTTAGGAAAGTCTTGTTAGAGACTGCACCATTGTGTATTGTTTTTGCTTTTAATAATTATAGTAATGAATCGATTGGGTTCTCGGATCTGTGAAATTTGTTACTAAATTTAGTTTTTCTAAATAAGATTACGGATAGCATGATAGATCTCATAACTTGCATACAAGAGACAAAGGCCACTCTTATAATAATAAATGGGTATGGAGAGTATAAAAACTTTGAAAAAAGTAAAAGTAAATTTATATCATTTTTTTTTTAAATCTGTTTTTTTTTTCATAAAATTAAAAGCTATACAATAATATAAATGATAAAACATTTAATTTTTATTTCTGCAGTTTTAAAAAATTTTTATAGATCAATTTACTTCGAACTCTTAATCAAAATGCAGCTCTGGGGCTTGTAGCGAATGCAGTACATTCAGTAAGTATAGATTTTGTTGAGTCACTATATTTCCAACGTGTCTGATAAATCATTGGTCATATAGAAAATTTTAAAATTTTTTATTTAATGAAATTTTTAGAATGAAATATTTTTAAAATAAAATAAAAGATTGTTTGTATATCTTATAGATACAGCTGTCTTATTTTGTTTCTTCTCTCATTCAATTTTTTAAGTGTATTAAATGCTGTTTCAATGTATTCGATTTTTCAAGCTTCATAAATAATAAAATAATTGTGTAAATTAATTTTTAATCTCTCGAAATAAAAACATTCGAATTTTTATACATAAAGATAAGAATATTTTAGTCAGCGTAATTTCTTCAGCCAGTAAAGATTGTCAGTGTTTGATTATTAAACTGCAATAAAATTCATTCAAATTCTAATAAAAAAATTAAATAATAAAATGAATTTAAAATTTTTCTTAAGTTTTATGTTATTCACATTATTTTTGGCTATTTCACATGCTGAAGTACCATGTGAGCTATTTATTTGTAGTAAAAAGACCCGTTGATTGAAAATATTTTTTCAGCTCGTTGCTTGGAACCGACTCCGAAAGGCAGAGGCTTGTGCGAGATGCTCATAACTGGTTATCGCTATAATCGTGACACCAAAAATTGTGAAGAATGGAGCACCTCCGGATGTACACTCTCTAAAGATAAAGGACATTCTTACAAGACTCTGGATGACTGCAAGAAGGAATGTGAAAATATAGTCTAATATGATATATACTATATTGATTGTGAATATATATTGATTTATATTGTTTGAAGTGAGCTTATATATTACATTGTTAGGTATATGAGCTATTATATAAAGGTTTTGGTATATGTACGTTCCTCAAGATAAAATTGTTTAACAAACTGTCTAAAAAATAATAAGAAATTAAAAATATTTGTTAATTAAAAATGCTTAAATAAATAAAATGCAGTTAAAAAATTCTTTCCAAATAAATTTATATTTTTAAGATGTTATTCCTTTACTATGTTTAAACTGCACACAACGAAAAAGCTACTTAGGTGGATAACCTACTACAGATGAAGACATAAGACTCTAGAAATTATGTTCCATACTACAATTTATAGATAGAAAGTGAACTTAGTAAAATTTATCTTAAATCGGATGAAAAATCAAGATTCTAAATATTTGGTTCCATGGTAACCTACTACAGGTGAAGACATAAGACTCTAGAAATTATGTTCCATACTACAATTTATAGATAGAAAGTGAACTTAGTAAAATTTATCTTAAATCGGATGAAAAATCAAGATTCTAAATATTTGGTTCCATGGTAACCTACTACAGGTGAAGACATAAGACTCTAGAAATTATGTTCCATACTACAATTTATAGATAGAAAGTGAACTTAGTAAAAAATATCTCACATCGGATGAAAAATTTAGATTTTAAATATTTGGTTCCATGGCAACCTACTACAGATGAAGACATAAGACTCTAGAAATTATATTCCATACTACAATTTATAGATAGAAAGTGAACTTAGTAAAATTTATCTTAAATCGGATGAAAAATTCAAAGTACTTGGTTCCATGGTAACCTACTACAGGTGTAGACATAAGTCTCTAATAATTGTGTTCCATACTACAATTTATAAATAGAAAGTGGACTCATAAGAAAATATGTAAGATATTATTAATATTCATACTATAGTTTATTGAAGAAAATGGAGTCAGATAAATAATTTGATTCTATCAATAGAGTTTTAGGTGCGAGTTCTCTATTTATATAACCTGCAACTAAATTTTAAAGTTTAGTTAAAGTATGCTTGTTTGATTTATAAGAGAAATCAATACAGTTATATGCTTTCATCTAAAACTCCATTTGTATATCGGTAAGTAGTTTTACAGTTAACAAAATATAACCTTATACAGATATTCTTCATTTTGAAACATATGTTAATCTTCTTCACGTCCAAATTGATAAACGTGATTATTATTTTCTAAACGTGTCTTAATTACATTTTACCACATTAAAACTTTCATAAATATTAATGTATTATATATTATAACTAATTTATATCTGTTCAGTTATATTCTATTTTTCGTTCTCATTTTGCATATTCACGATTTTATCTCAACGAATTTTTAAGTATAATTGTACTTTTGTAAGCAATCTTTTTCATAAGTATCCAGCCACTGAATTAATAATTTTGAAAAAATTAACTTAATTTATAAGTTAATTTATGTATAGTATACTTTTTCTTCAAAAATGTTAATTAAAATAGAAGTTACAAACCCAGAAATAATTCAGTTACTGAAGTTTACTCAGTGCATAAACGTTATAAGCCGTCAACTTTTAAACGAAAATTTAAATAATATTATTAATACAAAAAAAAAATTAAAAAAAATAGTATTCAAACTAATTAATAAATAATTAAAACAACAATTTGATTTTATTATAAATAATAATAAAATAAAATGAACTTCCAACTTTTTGCAATTTTCATGTTATTTACGCTGTTTTTGGTTACATCTCATGCTGGGATACCAGGTAAGCAATTTATTTTAAATAAGTAGAAAAATGGGTTAAGACTTTTCTATTAGATCGTTGCCTTGAACCACCACCGCAAGGTATAGGTTTATGCAAGAAACTCCTATTTGGCTACCATTATGATCCAAAAACGAAGAAATGCAAACGGTGGTTCTCCTCTGGATGTTCAAGGACTAAAGGAAACTCTTATAATTGTCTCAAGGAGTGCATTGAGGATTGTGTGAAATCGTCTGATTGTAAGGAAAATTAATTAATTCTTTTCAATCGTAAAGAGCTTAGTAGTTTCAATATACTTTATTTACACATGCATTAAAAATTTTTAAAATTATTTAATAATGTTTGCAAATAATAAATATGACAGAAATTCAAATAATTAACCTAACATTAAATTTACTATAGAAGCAAAGGATAGATTATTCATTTCGTAGTTCAGATTTAAAAGCACACTTTCAATAATATGTGTTATCCAAAACCTTTATCGAAGACCTAACTTGTTTAGTTTAATAATAGTTGAAAGTGTTAAAGTTATAAAAACTTACTATAATAATAGTGATTCCAGCCATTCTATATTTCAAAAGGTCCTGTCTTATGGCATATGATGGGGTATTTAGCATTTGGATTTTTTATTTCAGGTGTGATGAGCCCATATTTTTTTTAAAAATAATGAAAATATAACACATTTTGTCAATTCTAAAAACTACAGCCACATCATCACTAAATTATACTGTCTTGATATGAAAATAGGAATATGTGGTTTTCATAGTATAAAGCGGGACATGTGAAATCATAATTTCACGTTTTGGTGATGTCATAAATTGGCCACAGTCGTCAAAATATGACTAACTAAGCACCGAGAAGTCACCGAAAATAAATTCAAAGGATGTACCGTATTGTAAGTTATTTCGCAGAAGACATTTGAATTATGTTGTATTTCACATTTAATGGAAGGGTCAAAGAAATATAATAAGTTCTATTGAAACAAAAACTTTATAGAAACTCAATCGTAAAAGTCTTCTTTTTACAAATACTTTTGACGTCACATACCAGTATATGTAAATATGTATAACCACGTATTGTTTAGTTTTTATGAGGAACTTAATTGTTCATATACTAGTTATAGATGTAGTTTAATAATTCGTTCATATCTTAATAGATTTTATTTTATTTAATTTATTTATTAATTAAAAGAATTTTATATGCTTATCTTTGCAAAGATGGGAAACTAACGATATGTTAATTTATGAAGTTGGAAGTTTTTTATGTATTGGTTTGCCACTAAACACAAAAACCATTTTTCTTGGATATGTCATTTAAAATTTGATTTTGATAATTAATTCTCAGTTGCGTACAGTAGAAGCCAATATCACTATCGTTATTTAAGTCTAAAGACGGAATAAAGTTATCAACTTATTATTAGTTATTAGTTAACTTAAGTCAGTTTTGAGATTAAGGATGCTACTGTCATTAGCTCTATTAGCACTAATATCGGCTTTAAATATTGTACAATATAAACATGACAGCTTTGATAAATAGAAAATTTACTTCCACTGTATAAATACCAGACTTTAGATATATATAAAACTTTCCTCTAAATGCCTTCTTTTAAATTTCTTTGGAAAGTTGTAAATCTAATTTTGCCCAACAGTTTGAAAAGATTTCAGTGAATAATCCAATATTCAATATAATAAACTATTTTTTAAAATATTCAGAAAATATATAATATGTTTTTTACCAACTGATCAGCTAACTGTTATACAATATAAGAATTTTCGAATGATTCAGCTCTGACCCGCAGAGATAAGCGACAGATAAGAGGTTTGGTATTGCTTTTCCATACGTTCTTTTGATGTATTCTATAGGTTTTGTTATTAGTCACCAATTACCATGACATATATTACCCGGTTCTCATTTTTTTAAATAAATTAATACGATTTTACAACGAATTTATTCAGTCCAAAAATTCTTCTAAACGATGTCATCAAAAAAAAAACGAATAAATAAATAAAATAAATCGATCTGATCATTTGAATAAAATGATCAGTTGAAATCGATCTTCAGACTTTAACAGAATATCGTGCTTCTAAGCGAGAATTCTGCTAAAACAAGAATATCTTGCTTTTAAGCTAGAATTCTTGTTCCTTTTTGATATTATGTTCCCTTAGCGGAAATCTTAATACATTTAGAATTATGGGTAAACATTATACTATCCTTTCCTTTATTAAAACCTCAAAATGATTCACTAAAAAATGGTCCATTAATCATCGTCTATCAAAGGTAAAGGATTCTGATACCTATAGCTTGACCTTACTTTAAATATATGTTGTAAATACTATAATGGCAGACTTAATAGAATTTGTAGATGTGATTATGCATATTTAGCGGATATGCCCATATATCATTAAAATTATTACCTACATACCACATTTATATAAAAATTAATCAGAATTCATAAGCATTATTTCTCTACATTTTGATGAAAAATATAGTTCATATTGAAGATGATAAAACTGCTGCTAAGGCAATAAATAAGACAATTATTTTATAATGCCATTAATTAACACAGTTCCATTAGCACTAATATCACTTGATTCAAATAATGCAAAGAAATATATATATATATATTTGCTTAACCTTACTTCATGCAGCTATGTAAGCAAGCAAGAGCGCAATCCATTGCTGCCTACATTTTTTATCCGCTTATAATATCGAAGTATCCCGATACTGCATCCACACATTCCACTCGAACGCATTTATATCCCATTTTATAATGAATAGTTTTATATCCTAGCAATCCTTGCGGTATACGGCGTGCATCCTTTGCATACCACAATGCTGTTGATTGTACGTAAGGATGTGAGCTGCGGTGCCGCAGCACGGAGCCAATTAAATCAGGTGTAATCCTCGGTCAGTGATTTTATAAGAAGATATCGTTCAATATTTTCTAAGTACCAATAAGCAGAAGTAAGCAAAAAAGTAAATAAATTAAATAAAAAAATGAGAAAAATGAGAAAAATCTGGAAAAAGCTGATGTTATTAAAAGTTGCATGGAGCCAAGGTAAAAATAATTGCCCTCAAGTATCCGGGTTTGTGTTTTAATTGGAATTTTATTGATTTTTAATAGCATTACATTCTGTTGCTTGTACATACGTCCTGTGGGAGAGGTGCGTGATTGACCTTTGAAGTAGAAATTTAATTAAAGCAAAATAAGTGTAGAATGTATTGTGCATTAAAAAAAATTTTAATTGTTAAAATGAATGTAAAAATAACTAACTATTTTTGAAGTCAATGACCATTTGTGGTATAATAACACAATTTACAATTCATCGACAATGCTTTACTGGATGTGCACTAAAAAGAATTTGCTATACAGTGCATGGTAGGTGCACAATAGATCAAACTGGTCCCAGTGCATAGGGGCCTTAGCTTAACCCAAAAACCCCAAATACCATTGATCATTGAATAGTAGTTCAATCATTATCAAGTCCAAAAGTAATGAATAAATATAAAATAAATATTCAACTCAAATGTTAGGTCTTTACTATTACACACTTTAGAAATATCGAAAAGCCTACAAAGAAAATATAGAATCACCTATAAAGTTTACATTATGAAGGCTAGTATCGAGCTCTTCAAAACGATGACTTGCGATAATTTCCAATGAGGGTTTGTCGAATCTGTCCATTCAACCGCAAGTAACATATTAAAATAGAAAGAGTAATTGATTTTTAATTAAGGAGACCGTATAGAATATCTGTAAAGAATATAGCTTTGCAGTAAAGTACAACTTTAAAAAACATACCGCGACAACTTTTGTCTGTAAATTAGTAGCACTTTATTGCAATTATACTTCTGAGTGTTCTGCTTTGGCTGAAAACTACTTTTAACAAAATCAACATGAAGCAATCGATGAAGCATTTTCTATTCCATAAGTTTAAGCTGAAGGACTTGCAAACTATAACTAAATAAGTCCATGAAGTTAGTAAAATTGCCTAAAATGCTCGCACAATTATATTGTACTTGATGGAGTCTGCTTTAAAGGTCAACAAATTAAATTTTTATTAAGCTGATTATTTATCACAATTTCGTGGAATTTATTTCGATAAATATAGTAAGATTAAAGTAAAAATCTTTAAAAAGTTTGGTTATAGTTAACCCAATATTGTGATGTATCGAACAGTATAGTTCTAACACTATATCTTTATTGTTCGATATGGACTCTATAATAATCATACTGCTGCCATTAAATCAATCCTATAAAAACAAAATTCCGGAATTTGAATCTACAGAATTGATGGTTCCAAAAGAAGTGTTGCAGATATGTAAAGATACAATTGTTTATGGGAAGAATAAGCGCACCTGATATCTTTTTTTATGTATCTTAGTTAGAAAGTTCATAGAATACAATTAAATATTATAAAGAATATGGTGATATATTTATTGATTTTAATCAATTTTTAATTAGACAAAAATTAGAAGTTTCAGATTAGTGATTTGTGGTTAACTAAAACTTTTAATTTGTTTTTAATTAATTTATAATTTTTAAAAATGATATATTCATAATGAATTCATTTATATTCATTATATATTCATAATTTTTCAAAATTATATAATTTTGATTATATATATACTCATCAATTTCGGTATTTTGGCAGTTGACTGCCAATTCTACTCTGAAGTAAAGTGATGGATTCAAATTTCGTCCATTGTTGGTGGCGATGCAACGAATCATATCAACTCGCTTCAAAAGTCTCAAACAGCTCTCAGAATCATAGGCACGCTATTGTTTTTAGCGTTCTCATAGAGAAACAAATGTTAATGCAAAACGTTTTTTTGAAGTCGTTAGAGTAACAGCTATCACTTGACTCCTTTCAGTCCACTTCTTCATGGGTTGTCAAGACGATTTATGTTTTCCGGTGACAACACCTCTTTTGTGTGACCAGCGCTTTTAGCAATATCGGTGCTTGTATTTTCACATTTAAAGTCAGCAAATCACTTCCTTGCGATTTGTCTCAATGGTGTAGAGTCCGTATCCGTGTAGCACTTATCAACCCGGCATTTATTTTCATGGCTTTTTCTTCCATCTTAAAGCAATATTAAATCAAGAAACTAAATATACAAAGTAGTGTCACTAAAACAGCTGTAGTTAAATAAATAATGATTCAAATATTATGAATTTTTGACAAGTTATAATAGCTATAACTTGAAAATTTATAAAAATTATATATCATCCTTAGAGCTTATTAGCCTATGTTATGTTAACTCTTCATTTATCGCTGGTCGATCTGATCTTTTTAGACTAAAT